GTTTTTCCGTATACCGGCGAGCTTGGCTGACGTGAAAGAAGCTCGCGGAGAATGGATTCCGGAAGAGAAGATTCCGATGAAACGCATCCGGGGCTATCTTTGGCGTCAGCCGTTCATTCTGCGCTACAACGAAGAGGGGAAAAAGGCCAAGTCCAAGGTGCGTCCTGGATCTCCCGATCTTTGCCTCCCGATCTCGGTCGTCCGGTTTGGACTTGTCTGTGTTATGTCTACTCACTTTGCCTCAGGGCAACCACGTCTGGAATATCGAAGCCAAGAAGCTAGGAGATGGACAATGGGATTTCCGACCATTCCATCGCAAGATCACGGGTGACGCTCAGAGCATCGCCTACTGCGGACTATTGTGGTCATGGCAGCCCCGGATCTCAGACCCGCATGCGTGTTGGAAAAACGTGCCTGTGCAATACAGTTCGCCATCCCTTCCACCGTGGCTTTCCTGGAAGGACGATGTGCTTTCCGGCACTCCGCCGGCCAATGCCGAGAGCTGTGAGGTCATCACGCACGCCAAGGTACGTCCCGCGCCGCACCATCCGCTTTCAACGCTCAGCGGTCATGACAGTACACCCTGGACGGACAAGAGGGTGTGTTGTCTCGGACGTTCCTCTTGACGATCGCGCCACTAGTTTCTACGGAGAATTCGTTTGTTCCGCAGCGTCCGATGCTCACCCCGAGGACCGTCAGCGACTCGGCGGTTCCTACCTGGTGTGTTTGCCTGCGTTTGCATGAGCGCGTGTTCTGAATGACCGGCTCGTTACAGGACCTGCGCCACGCCTCGAACGGTCCCGCTTGTGACTGATGGGGAAGACGGCGCTCGAGTGAAAATGGTGCTCGAGCATGTGGCCCAGCGACTGACGTTTGAGACACAACTTCCCGGCCAGTCCAGCATCCAGGACCGGCTTGCAGAGCAGACGGTCAACGCATGCTTAGACGACTACGAGTACTCGAGCGAGGAGCCGCAAAAGACGCACGAACTTGCCGTGGCCGGGCAAAACGTGGTCGCCCAGGCCGCCGAGTACATCGTGCGGAACAAGCCTGAGGCTGTGCTGAACACGGCGTCCGCGGTGCAGAACAATGTGTCTGCGGTGCAGAATGTGACGACGGAAGAGTTGGTCACGACCACCCAGCAGGCCATCGCGGAAGCTGTGAAAAGCACACACAACCCGTACAACGTCGACGAGCTGTCGATTCTGCTGCTTGCTTGCCGCATGCTGGATCCGTCGCCACCGGTGGTGGAATACTACCACCAGTACGACCTGGCCATGCCCACTCAGGGCCCCGAGTGGTATAGCAGGCCTGCCGCGGCTTACGTGTAAATCTCTCTCTCTTTGGGACTGTTTGTCAAGGGACTGTGTTTCTTCCTGGGACTGTAGGGTAGAATCAATGTATTCATCGTACCGCGCCAAGCGATTGTATCTGTAACATGTATACTATCAATTATGATGCGTTAAACACCGTATTCTCACACATCTCGCATTGGCTCAGATCGACTCGGTTCGAGTAGGTGCAGGTGGCACAGATCTTGCCGGTCTCGGGTTCTGCTTGCGACGGACTGGGCGCTCTCGCCGGACTGCTCGCTCTCAGCGGACTCGACCTCCCGAGGATGGTTCCCCCGAATCCACCGCCCTCCTCTCTCCGCCTCTTCCGTTTTGGAGCCTCGTCAGAATCCGAGATCTCGTGCACCTCGGTCTCTTGTTCCAATTCGAGCACCGCATGCGCCGACACCCGCAGAGATTCCAGTGTGGCGGTGTTGTCGTCCAGCTCGCGCTTGCCGAGGAACAGGCGCTGGCATATCGTTGGGATTTTGAGCTCGTGTTGCAGCTTAACAACGAGTTGAGACGATCTGCATCGTTGCACAAGGTGGAGCGCACTGACCTGTACTTTGATTTCTTTGACGGTAGTCGACTTGGTGACGGTCAGTTTCTGACGCACACCCCTGTCTTTCGCTCGGAGCCGCCTGGATTGTCGCGTCCCGGTTGACTGATTGTGTTCCACGTCGGGATCTTTCCCTCGACGCACCGTGATCTCAGTCGACGTCCAATCTGTTAACCTAGGTACTGTGGTCAGAGACTCGCAGACGACAGGCCCCCGGTGTGGATCGGTACCTTCGCTCGCGACAATCTGCACAGATGGGAATGAGAGACTCCCAATCCCTCCCGTCGGTTGTGTCTACCCCTATCAGCGGGCCGCCGAGATATCGCTCGTGAAAATCGGTCCACTCCGACCGCATAATCAAGACCAGCGAGCCGTCGATGTCGGTCCTGCAGTTCGGGTCGATGGCAAGCATGTCGTGCTCGCAGAAGAACGCGCTGTTGTCGATCCGGTCTGGTCGCAGGCACTTTGTCGGTCGGTTGATCCACTGGCGCCACGAGCGGAGAAAACCTTCTGGGATGTAGGCGCACCGGGAATACTGGACATCAATGACGTCGTCGTCGTACACCCGCTTGAGCAGCTCCTGGATGGGATGATGAGTCAGGCAGGGCCGTGGTCAGAAGCCTCGACAAACCTTCTCAGCATCAGCTAAGCGACGGATTTGGACCTGGTCTTCGACTGCCATGTTCTCCAGCCCTTCACACACGGCGCAGATCTCCATCTCAGAGCTCATGGCCTGCAGTGATGGATAGAGTTTCTGCAGTAGCTCGAATGCCGAAGACGATATCAGCTGTCGATTCGTGCTGTCCTTGCACAAGCCTCCATGTTCGCAGCGAACGTGACTTGCGTATTCTGAAGAATCAGGAGCGGGATCGCCCGCCTCCGTGTGCATCTTCGGATGAAGCGTCCTCCAGTCTTTGATCCAGGCTTTCGAGGTCCAGAATCCACGTGATCCTGGAACGAACTTGCATGTCTGGTCGAATGCGAGAATATTGGCCCGGTGAGTTGCGGTATAGAGGTGATCTAGGAGTAATCATTCGTCTCGGGTTAGAATTATGGAATGAACTGCAGACCTCGAAAGGTTTCTTCCACGCAGGTCCGGCAAATATCGTCCACCCTTTCGATTGCGCACTTGGTCTCATCCAGGATCCTCTCGAAAGCCGTGAGCGAAATCCGCTTCATGTTCTCCGCTTTCTTGTGATCGAGCAGCTGATGAGTGCACAGCACATCCGCGATCGATATCGTCTCAGGCTCAGAGCCGACCGCTGCTTTGATAGCAGCCTTCTCAAGCCAACTTTCCAGAGCCTGCTGACTGACAAGAACCCAGGGCTGAGTGAAATAAGTCTGCTGGATGAGGAAAGAGTGCGCAGATGCCTACCTTGTCAGCAGCACCATCGACTGTCCACATCCGGTAAATATCCCGCACTTGGCGTCGAGTTTCTCGGAACCGCGACCTCAGCTCGGTTTCCTTCTGGGAGAACGCCGCGCATTTAGCTTCATGCGTCCTGTTCATTTGCTCGACCACATCAAGCGCGGCCTCTGGGGGACTGGGCTGTTCTGATAGGGAGGTATTGAGAATGGAAGTAGCCTCGCGTGACGACGCACTGACCTTGTGAGGTACATAGCTCTTTACGGGCATATATTAACATATATGCATCCTTGGATGAAATTCGACTGGCGGAGATAAGTGAGCGCATCTGGTGAACCATGCGGCTGACCGACCTTTCTGCTTCTGACCTTGCAGCAAGATGAGCAGTCTGTACTATTATGTCAAGGATAAAACGTACTCTTCGTCACTATCATCTATCCTCCTTCGCTTTCTCACTCTCGATCTGGCGAATAGTCAGTGGATGGCAAAGTGAGCCTGGGATCGCCGCACGTTGCCGCAGGTTTCTTGTCGCCCTCCTCGGCTTCAAGATCAATCACAACAGTTTTGGTCGCCTTGCCCAGGTTGGCGATTTTGGTCACATCTTCGTCGTTGAATTGAAACCAAGACTTGGTGCTGATGAACATCAGAATCAGCCGCAGATCCCCCAAGAGTAAATCATTCAATACGCACTGTTCGTCGAAAACCTGAGCCTCGTAATGCCCATGATACGCCGACTTGCCCTTGTGCAGCAAAACTCCGCGCAGCTCGTACATCGCCTGCTGCGGCTTGAACCCTCCGTGTATAAAACGGGACATGTCCAGGTTCGTGGGAAACTGGATCGTGTTCTTCGATTTCCGACGTTCCTCGCTCGAAACGTCGTACTGGAACCGAAGCAGAGAGAAGTGGAGAACGGGCGGGAGCTGACGGAGCTCGACCCTCCGGATCGCGTCCTGGAGGCTGTCGCATTTGGAACAATGGTATCTGCAAATCGATGAGATGTAGTACGATTGACCCTGATGACACTCGCGCACTTATTATCGTCCGTCAGGGACTCTTCTCGGAGAAGATCTGCGATGCTATCCTCCAGTTTCGCATTGTTCTATGAAATGGAATCCCTGCAGTCAAAGATAGAGCGAATCCGTACCTTGAAGTTGATCTCCAGCTCGAGAAAGTCCGACTCTCGGGCGGAGATGGTTTGGCAGTTGGAACAAACCGTGGAATAAGCCTGAGTTCCTTGGAACTAAGCGCGGGTCAGTGCCTGCAAAACATTCCATCCAATGGCACACATACACACCTGATCGGTCAGCAGAGATTGTAGAGCCGGATCAGACTGTTTCTTGAACTCGGCGTCGAGGTGTGACATGAACAGTTTCGAAAACCTAACCTAGTCAGTCAGCGATAGCAGACTAAGAGGAGCCGAACGAACTCTTGTGCATCCTGCTGTTCAGTTGTTACAAGCTGCAGGCTCTCAACGAGGCTCGTTGGGTTGAAACAGCTCTGCGTACTTGCTTGCAGGGCCGCAAAAGTAACTTGCAGTTGGAATATGGGCGATGTCTGCGGAGAAGTATGCGACGATGTCGTACTCGACCACCCAGATCATCGCACCTTGAACTTGTCGTCTACCGACAGACAGGCGTAGACACCTCGGCGAAACGTGCTGTCTCGGAACCAAACCTACAGGTTTGTTAGACACGTTCCAGAACCCGACAGTGGGAGGATAGTTACTTGTAGAGAGGCATTCGCATAGCATGTGGCGCCAAGATTCTATTACGAGCATTCGTTGGTTCTCGACGCATGACATGGCGAGAGAGGAAGTAAACCTTCAGTCCCACAGGAACAGCTTTCTTGCGTTGATTGTCGGAAGGATCCTCCCCGAGCGCCGCCACTTTCATGAACAGCTCCTCGGCATCATCTGAGACAGAGTCAATTTCTGTCCCGCCTGCGGATGGATAGATGGATGTTCAGAGTGTTCTGACCTTCATCCTCCCAGAGTCTTTGACCCAGGTAGTTGAGACAGTTGGGATTGGATTTGCATTTCTTCTTCGTACATGGATAGACCTCGTCGTCTTCGTCAGATACGAGCACTATCACATCATCCGCCTTCCCGCTCTCAGGAGGAGCGGCTTTCGCAGACGGTGTTCTCTCCGACTGTGCTCGGTTTCGTCCCCGTTTAACAAAGGAGTTCCGGCAGAACGGATGCCGGTTCCGCACAGAAGAGAGTCCGCAAGTCGCAAGAAGATGCTCCGGAGTGATCGCGGACGTGTCGTGGACTTCAGTCCCCACCCAGCCCCAGAAAGACGACTTGTGAGCGTCGGTCGGAGTGCGGCGTGGCGCAGCCGGAGTGTCTGACCCGTCTCGCTTTCGCTTGACCATGGCACGAGGTGCTTCAGCACCAGAAGACGCGTGAAGAGGCGCGTTGTAGCAGTGAACGAGACAAGTAAAACGCCGGCTGCTGTTTGGTCGATCATTTGGTGGTACACTGTGCACAGCACTTGATCTCTCTCTGCCGCCACCGACTATGGACCGCATACGCGCCCGCCTGCGCGCGTTATTGAATCCTGGAGATGACCGAAGTTTGGCTCTGGTGCGGCGGAGGAGGGCTATGGTGTCCGCGTTGACAAGTCGGATACATCTCATTAGGTCTGTTTCGTAGACATCAGTTATCCAGCACAGAAGGCACTGACTGTCCCAGGCTTGCGCTGTTTGTCGCAGGATACCTATGGATGCTCGTGCTTCCATCTCCACGACTAGGCCGATATACATACATAGACGAAAATGCCCTCCAACCCAATTCCGTTCGTCCACACGTTCGTCCATAGTCTGCACTCATACCAAGGTCAGGTCAACACACACTGGAACTGGGGCGATGTTGCAACTGCAGATCGCTATTTGGAGCAGCTTGAACGGTTGAGGGATGGCAATGCGACGAGTGAGCAGTGAGACTCAAATACTGTCGCTAAGAGTCAGACTGACCAGCACGAAGACGCGCCGCCTTCCTCAGGGATGAGTTCATCAAGCTCGGCATTCCTGCATCTACACAGAACTACGCGTTTCACAGTCACTCCGGGGTGTGTGTGGTGCATGCGAGTCGGGCTCCTGAAGTCTCAAGAGTTCCCTTAGGTCGTGAACGGAACCAATGCTTATGCAGTCCTCTCCGCCCCTCGTACATCGGGGACCGAAGCTATGGTCGTCAGCGCATCTTGGATCAGTCGTGTGGGAGAGGAGACAGGGACATTGAATCTTCGTGGCGTGGCTACTGTACTGGCCCTGGCTCATTTCTTGAAGCGTGCGTCTGCGTCTCACTTCTGTGACGGAAGGGCTCATCCAATGGTGTGCAGAATACTCTCTATGGGCCAAAGACTTTGTCTTCATCATTAACGACGGATATCTTGACGGGATGCAGGCTTGGTTGAATGCATACCATGGATCGAGCCAGTCAAGTGCGCCGTCTCATCTGAAAGCACTCATCCTCCTGTCTCATTCGCGATAGATCTCCAATCAGACAATCTCGAACTGACGTCCGGTGTCATCTGGACTGCGCTCAACATCGACTACCCTGGTCATTCATTCTCTCACTTGGGAATTTTCCACGGTGAGACCGTTATCTTGAGCTGAGAGTCTTGTTTCTCATCTGGCAAGTAGAAGGGATCAACGGACGTCTGCCAAACCAAGATCTGCTGAACTCATTTCAGCAAATAGCCCGGTGGACCGGAGGGGTGCCCGTTGTTGTGTACGACCAAGTCGACACACCGGTGGAGCTTCCCGGCTGGGTCCCGCAAGTGATACAGGGGGAACTTGGCACGTATCTACAGAGAGCCAAGACAGTGGGCAGGCACATCGTCCACCAAGCAAATGGCCGGGGCAGTGGTGTCCACGGGCTCTTCCATCAGTATGTTATTTTGACAAAGTCGCAGGCGTCAATCTCACATCCCAGATTCCGAATCGATGCCTTGACCATCTTTGGAGTGCCGGCGCAAGGTCCGCATGGGTTTCATGCTATCGGGAGGTCAGCGCATGTCTCATTCGTTGATCATTAACCGAAGCTTGACGTGTCACAGAGTCCTGGAGTCCACGCTGCGCACGACGAACAACTTGCTCGAGCGCTTGCATGCATCGTTCTTCTTCTACATTCTCACCACTTCGGACTGGTTCCTCAAGATCGGCAGCTTCCTACCGAGTGCCGTGTTGATCAGTGTCTCGATGATGTTTGGCGGTCTGAAAATCTGGTCTGATGCTGGGTGGATCCGTGATCGAGGAGACGAGAAAAGCGACCCTCAATGGCTGGAACGAAGCCGACCGGTCTTGCCTGTGTTGGCAATTATGCTCTGCACCCACCTTCTAGGAGCCGGGCTCCTCTTGGGTGTAACCAACATTGAGTACAAAGTGCTTTCCTCTCATTTCTTTGTTGGCCTTCCAGCTGACTCAACTTGGTAGCCGGTCCTATTCGCTGTCTTCTCCGCGATTCCTCTCTTGGCACTGACTATGGACACACGGAAAGAGGGGGATGATACGGCGTCTGTGTCCTCGATACTCAAAGCGCTCAATTTGTGTTTTGCGTCGACTGTGATCTCCATTACAACGGTCGTCAATTTCTCCCTTGCGATGTCGCTTGCTATCTTACTGGGCGTCCCATTGTCTCTCTCATCCCCCACTCGATCAGTGCCTACAAAGCTACTCTGCTTTGCGCCATATACTGTGCTCGGACTGGGATGGTTGTTCGCCCGCCACGAAGTGGCCAAAACGGTGTGGGCGTGGGATGTACTGGGTGTATGGTTACTGCCGTCTGCGTGTATTGTATATACCCCGTTGGTGCTTCAGGCAGGACTGGTGTGTCTGTTGCCTTTGTGAGATGGAAATCCAACCTATTTTACTAATACTAGGACATCTCCGTGTCTGAGCCAAAGAGATCGTCGCCGACCTCTTCAGCTTCAGAATTGATATTGACTTGGGGTGTGCTTTCTTCCACGATACCGGCGTCCTCAAGTCGTTTCCGTTCGCGCAGCTCGTCTCGCTGGGCCAGTTTCATCTCCAGGTCAGCAGTCAATTTCTTGAGCGCATCTTCGAAACGTTTCTGTCCGGGTCTGGTAAGTAACGGTAGACGGTATCTTGGTGAAAGCCATGCCTTGATCAAAGGATTAGCAGAGTTGGCTATCTCGTTGCCCTTCTTAGCAACTGCAGCCTCCAGGTCACGGATTTCCTCGTTGAGCAACTTCCTCGCTTGGCTGTCTTCCTCGTCATCATCTTCGTCGTCGTCCTCGTCGCTATCGTCGTCGTCGTCATCTTCGTCGTCCGCTTCCTCGTCTCCAAGAGCAAGATCCAGCTCAGCGGCCAGCTCTTCATCGATGTCTCCCTCGGGTTCATCCGATTCGTCGTCATCTTCGTCGTCCTCGTCTGCGTCCCCGCCCATCGCTACATCCCCGCCGTCTGATATAGCTGGTGTGGGAACATCGATTGGCTCGTCCCGTTCTATGAATTCGGAGTCTGATAAGTCCGGATTGACGTTCTCAAGAATATCTGCACCGATTGAGAAGATGGAATAACTAACAAAGACGCCCGCACCATATTTGACTTCCGTGGCCAGAGAATCATCGTCCAGCAGACGTTCCACAGCCTGTTCTACACTCTCGATAGTCTACACGCTGTTAGAAGGTCGACGTGAACGTTCCTGAATAACTCACTCTGCGATTGACCCGCTTCCTGAACCTGCGTTTCCGTACATGGTGTAATGGCGGCGTCAGGCCATGTGGCCAGATGAAATCCTCGATGTTGAACGACTTCTGCTGCGGCGGTTCGTCTGTGTCAATGAGGGTCTCGACTACCAGCATCTGAGATATAGTCAGAGACGATTGGTTAGTTCCCTTGTGAACCTTGAGACCTGACATATATCCGCCACTTTGAACATCTGTTTGTTGTCCAGTGTCTTCTGAGATTCAATGATGCAGGGAAGATCGACAAGTTTGGCAGAGTATGTGTTGCTCCCAATCTTGAAGGTGGCGCGCCGGGAATCTAAGTTCCATAAATTCGTCGTGCTAAGGCGGAGAGCACACCACGCACCTTTGAATTTGAACCACAAGTCATTCCTTACTTCTCTCGATGCGATGATCTTCCTCAACTTCTCACAATCCTCGCCCGGCGGCATGCGCAAGATGAAGTGTTCCTCAAAAGAGAGGTCTTCGTCGTCGGAATCCAACTCTCGGTCATACTGGCCAAGGAAGCTCATCCCCGGTGCTTGTGCAGCCGCTTTGTCACTGAGCTTCAGTTTCAACTTCGGCTGGGGTTTAGACTTCGCTGCCGCTGCAGAGCGGGTTGTGCGTTCGGAGTTGTCCTGGGTGACATTCAGAGGCCGACTTGCGCTACGTAGACGAACAGATGCAGCAGGAGAGGGAGCGTCAACTGCAGATGATCCTCCAGCTATAGGAGACGCCATGCTTTGAATATCTTCCATCAGATCATCTGCAGACATTGTGTGTGTGGGGGAGAGGTATGTGGTCACGCAGCCGTCAAGCTCACGATGTGTGACGGGTCGCGTTACCGGTACTTTGAACCTCGGTGATCGGATCGTTCCTCGCCTGATCGTCCCTCAGTTGAAGTGTTTATGTATCCGTTGAGTCGTAAGGTACTTTAATTGGGAATCTCGCGCAGTGGAATGCCCTGCGTCATAATAAACAACGCCACACTGCCAACCGCCATTGAAATCCATCCCCAGGTCAAGCGTTCCTGGAGAATATCCTCTGGGCTCTGCGGGGGAGTGGCCTTCCAAAGTGGTCTTGGCAGCAAAGAGACGAGTGATTGTGTAATACTGGAAGCCTTGACAGGAGGGGGAGGAGATGCTTGAGACAATTCTAGTAGTCTCTCTGCGTGTGCCACTAGAGACGGATAGGATGTTCGCAACAAATCGGAGATCACGGGTTCAGGAAATGGTGGTTTGAGCAGAATGAGAATATAGGCCGCAAATTGCACATCCAAAAGGGTGAGCCTGTCTAGAAGTCAAATGGAATTACAGCGCAAGGGGCCTGGACGAACCGATTGCGGATGAAGTACTCATTGTATGCATTGGTGCCCAGCAGACGCACATATGTATCGAGACAATCTTTGGCCATTTGTGTGGCCTAGAAATGCATGTCGGAACATAGACCTGGGAAAACAGAGAGTAGAAGCCGACCTTGTCGCGTTGGATTGTCTGCGCGAATTTTTCGGCCAACGCTTCCTTGGGCAAGCCGATGCTACGCATAGGAGACGACGATGCTTCGGCAGATTGCTCGCTCCATAACCCAGCAGCTTCAAGCCTGGGACGCGTCATGTTGCGCATGCGGATAGGTACATAGTAGCGCTGGGGCACAGGTAACGTGGAGGCGAGTGTCCGGTGCGTGAGTTGCGTCCAGTTTGACGTAGCTGAATACAAAACATATGCCTGCATCCGACGCGAAGAATGAGTAGCACGATATAGAGGGCGCAGGCCGACGCACGACTAGTGTTCCCAAATTTGACTCCACATGTGAGCACCACGCAATCCTCTTAGAGTTTTCGATCGCACTCAGCCCTGCATCAACGTCCACTGCCTTGAAGTTGCCGCCCTCCAGGAGCGTCAGGTAGCTGATAATAGAAGGCAGAGAAGAGATATAGGTATTCTCATGAGAGAGGTAGGGCAGCGAGCCCGAGGGAGAGAGATCCGGGTTCGTGCAGTATTCAATGGCAAACTTTCCCGGAATAGTCAACTGCAAAAGCAGGGCGGCGGCGAGACAGGACGGGTCAGAGGAGATTAGACCGAAATGGGCCGGCCATATGTGGAGGACGGGTTGACTCATTCAACAGAACGAAAACGACTTTCAAGCGTTGTGAATGTTGCTGCCGTGTCCCGACGCATTTGATCTTAGTGATGGCCACTGGCCAGGTGACAAGCTTGGAAGCAGTGATGTAATACGCGACGAGTCTTCTTCGAATCCACCATATCCACATTCCGTCCCCTACCCGTCTCTCGTCCCCGTCCCAGGTCTCAATCAAAGATAGCCAGAACGAGGCTACTCCCCATCATTCTCTCTCAGGACGAGGCACTGAGCGACGAAGATGAAACACCTCTCCATTAAAGATGCCATACTGCCTCAACCGCCCTCATTCTACAAGAAGAAGCATTACGAGGTTCACGAGGTCCTTGGGAACGGTACATTCGGGAAAGTAGTCGTGCGTCTTAGTGTCCACTCCACCTACCACGCGATCTCATCCGCGCCGCGTGACGCGTAGCACGCGACCTGGCATGTCCCCCTCGAGCAAGCTGCAATCGCAGAGGGTGGTGCTGCACTTACGGATGAATCGCTGGACTTATCAAGGAGTCGCTCATTCACTGGCAAGATTACCGCTTCGCGATCGCCATCTCCTTTGGCGACCCCGAGCGATATCAAGAAGGAAGTCGCGCTCAAGTTGATTCCGAAGAAGAAGGTCAAGGGCAATGAGGAAAGCGTCTGGGGAGAAATGGAGGTATTGAAAGGACTGAATCATCCCAATGTCGTGAGTGGAGCTCCCTTCTTTCGATGCATTCCATGGACATTGCTCCAGGTCAAATTCTACGAGTGGTTCGAATCGAGAACGAAGTATTATCTATCCTTCGAGTTGGCTGTGGGCGGAGAACTCTTCTACCGCATTCAAGAGAAAGGGAAATTTACGGAAAAGGATGCCGTATCTGTGGTCACGTATGTTCCGATTCCCGTTCGTCGCCTAACAAGCTCATCGCCTGTTATTCAGATCCATCTTGTCCGGTGTGCAGTACCTGCACTCGCACGACATCGTCCACCGAGACCTCAAGTACGCTCTATCGGCTCCTGGTTCCTTGATAGACAGCTCATATTGGGGCGCAGACCTGAGAACATTCTCTATCGCACTAAGGAACCTGACAGTGACATCGTGATTGCGGACTTCGGAATGTTCGTTCTCGATTGTGTTGAATCGCATTGTCTGATCGGTCCGATATCTCCAGTGCTAAACACCTACATGCTGAGGATGAGCAATTGACCTCACTGGCCGGAAGTCCAGGATACGTCGCTCCGGAAGTACTGAAGAAGACCGGACATGGTAAGGCGGTCGACATCTGGGGAGCTGGGTGAGTCAATGTGCCGGTCGTTCAGCTTCCCTTGACTTGCTGCAGTGTTATCACCTACGTCCTTTTATGTGGCTACTCGCCTTTCCGTGGCGAGGATCCCAACACTCTCATGAAGGAAACGATGGAAGGACGAATCGAGTTTCATGCCAAATATTGGAAGAAAATATCTGAGGAAGGTGCGTCAGAGACATTGTGAATCGACGCTCAAGCTCAGCTCCTTGTCAGCTAAAGCATTTGTTCGTCGTTTGCTGATTGTTGATCCTGGTGCCCGACCGACGGCAGCAGAGGCCCTGGAGGATCCTGTGCGTGGCTTTGGTTACCATTCAGCGTAGTCTCATATTGGACTGCCGTAGTGGCTGACGACCCACGACGCATCGACTGAACACGATCTTGCAGCTGGTCTGCGGGAGAACTTCGATGCACGTGCTCGGTGGCGAACTGCGATCGGGGGTGTTCGGGCATTGGGGCGGCTGAAGCGCGGCGGCTCTTCCGCCAGCAGTAGCGTCACCACAGGGGGGTGGGCAGGAATCAGCGATGACGACGAAGATGAGCATGAGGAGGGACAGGACCAAACACTGCGCTCTGGGGAACCTGGCAAGAACGTCAATGTCCAGGTCACACCAGCACCGACAGATGGTCACCCGGAATCCTCACCCGCGGTAGAAACGAAGGAACCGGAATCCAACCTTCACGAGACGAAGAAGGCTCCTGGCGGCGACGATGAACTTCAGATGCCGGGATCCTTTGACCTTTCCGGCCCAGTCACCACCGGTGGCAGCTGGGCAGAAGCTTTGAGAAAGCTGGTGTTGTCGCCACCTGCTGCCCCGAGTTGAGGATGTGACTGGCCGCTATGTATCTGTATCATATGTAACTTCAGTTATTAGTTAACATCTGGGATGTCGTGATCGCGTGATAGCCGCCGCGCTCAACTTCAAGTTCAAAGAGCGCATTGTTCTTAATTCCCATAATAGGCTCATATTAAATAACCCAACTGCTTTCTTCCTTTCCTCAAAGCGACCGCGGAGACAACAACCCGCATCCTGCACGAACGCACGCGGAGAAAAGCTTGGAAAACGCCCTGGGAAAACAGCTGATGGTACAGATAGGAGGTAAGTAATAAAGTTTACGCCGCAGATCTCCTTCAAGTTCATTCCTCTTCCTCGACGCGTTCGAATCCGGATAGCGACGAGCCAGTGGGGACCGTAGCTCCGTGACTCGCTGTTCTTCGTGCTTGCGGTTGCCCAGGTCGGCGAGTCTAGAACATGCAGTTTGGTCAGATTTCCCGCCGGTTTCATTCGTGAATGAGATAATCACCGCAGACAACGTTGGCTTCAGCTTTTTCTTCGGTGGATCGGGTGGACTAAGACTCGGCGCAGGTGTTATGAGCGAGGGACGCCTCTGCGATTCCCCCGGTTTCAATGTCGCTGCAGACGGAGCGCTCGAGACTCGTCGCATGGGCCCGCGCGCCTTTGCTGCTCGTGCCGGTGACACGGCGGGTGTAATTGCCGGCGTCGCCTCCGGTGCTTCTGTCATGATGCCCTGCGCCTCCAACCAGTCGGCAGTGCGATAGCGGAACACGAACGAGACGTAGGTGGGATATTTGTTGGAGCCGTTGTGTGCATCCGCTGCGTGAGGCTTGGTGACCCATGTCGTCCCGTACTGTTGGAATGTTTCTTGCTCGTCTCCGAATCTAGTTCTCCATGAGCCAAGCGCAGACTGGACAAACCAGCCAACTAACGCACCCAACGCACAGTTCTCCCGCCTTTCTTTTACCCAGCACAGTCGGCGGCAGCGATTGAATCGGGTTAGCAGGCTGCTGGGCGAACACCCGGTCGACCCGCTTGATGCGCACGACGATCATCCCGGCATCTTTGTTGTTTGGTTGGTCGGCACCAGTGTCTAGGTTCGCGCGCGTTGAGTCATTGAACCGCGCGGCAGACGACGATCTACGCACCTTGTGCGATTGTGCTGAAAGTGAAAGGCCTTTCCGACGCCGGTCCAGACCGCACTCCGCCTCTCGAGGCCTCGCCTTGTCCAAACAGGAACCGTCCGGGGACAACCAATCCGTCGAGGGTGACTTGATTTGCCTTGTAAGAATCGGCTGGCTAGGGAGTCAAGGGGGGAGCACGAACTGAAGGCGCAGCTGTCCACCTTCCCACCATGGTCCTTCCAATGCACCGTGAACTTCTGCCCAGGGAACAGCCCTGCGTGAGTTGAGCGTAGCAGAGATCGTGCGACGCACCTGTCCAGAATCCCCCGCAATCCAGCACGACACTTTTGAGTTGACTATATCCGTGGCTTCCAGGAACTGGTGTGCCGGCTCTCCGTCCACCTCGATCCAGGCAGAAAACCCACGCAGCGTGAGGGGCATTCTCAGTAATAAATGAGTTCGATGGATGGCCTGGACGAAATATGAGATAAGAAGCCAAGGAACGGTCCAGGGGCGGAAGAAGTGAAAGGTTAACACGAGGCTCAAGGGTAAATTCTGTAGGTCCTTGTTACAACAATGTTCAAGGCACGTGACTTGCGCGTGATGTCGCCTCTAATCTTTGGCCTCCGCCAACTCGCACGCACCGTGCACTGGCCCAGAGGGACGATGCCACCAAGACGCGCAGCGACCAGCAGCAGTAGCAGAAGCAAAAGGAAGGCGGAAGAATCGGCTGACTCGGCTGACGAATCGCTCAAAACGTCGAAGAAAGCAAGGGTAGCCGAAGCCGTTCCGTCTGCCTCGGCCGGAAGCTCTCAGCCGACGAACAAAGTAGTGCCTGACACCATCGTCTTCCCAGGTATGTGAGCGTGGCAGGGTGGGACATCTCATGAACCACGCGTACGGTGATGGCAGAACGCATCCCGGGCACTCTTAGACTGGCGACATGGAACGTATGTGGACTGGCAGCGAGTCGGAAGAAGGGGTTCCAGAGATACATCGACGCGGAGGACCCGGATGTCTTGGTGCTCACGGAGACGAAGGTGCGGCGGCCCCTGCTCGCAGCGCGCGCTGGGCATTGTGTGACATCCGACAGGTCAATGACGAACCGAGCATGGATCTAGCGCTCAAAGCGCGTTTCCCTTATTGGCATTGGTCTATCTCTGCCAAGAAAACCTACTGTGAGCCATTGCAGACGCGTGCGACGCGTTTTAATCCCCTTCATGCTACATAGCTGGGACCGCGATTTTGTCCAAGCACAAGCCTCTGAGCGTGACTTCCACGCTGCCGGGGCACCCCGACCCCACCCTTGTCAAGGGAAGGATCGTGACGATGGAGTTTGAGAACTGTTTCGTGGTCGGCACGTATACGGTGAACGCAGGTTCTGATTTGAAGGCGCGTGTGTCCCGCTAAGGATTGGTCGGTTCTCTCCAAGCTTACGATGGAAACCCCAGACCTTGGACCAGAAGAAAGAGTGGAATACTCATTTTGAGACCTACGTGCGGGATCTCGACAAGCGGAAGCCTGTCATCTGGACGGGAGACCTGAACGTTGCTCCGACAGAACTAGGCATGTACTTCAGAATGCGCTTCCGTCTATGTACTGGACTTTCCGGATGACATCTTACGCAGATCTCACGAATGCTAAATCCAACTGGAACAAGACAGCTGGGTATACGGAAGCGGAGACGACTGCGTTCAAACGATTCATTGAACCGCCCGAAGACGTCGCAGATGCTGCCACGTTCGTCGATGTGTGGAGGCAGTTGCACCCCACGGAAAGACAGTACACATACTTCTCGTATCGGTTCAACTGCCGACTCAAAGGGATCGGATGGAGGCTGGACATGTGTGAGTGGGTTCCACCCAAGTTTCGGCACCGAGCCCATGCATGGTCTTCCCCCAGTTGTCTTGAGCGAGCGCATCGCAAGTAAGGTCAAGATGGTATGGTATCGCATTTATCCTTAACGAGCCATGGCCTGATGTCTACTGGCAGTGTGAAATCCGAGGCGAAATCTACGGGGCTTCCGACCACTGTCCGCTCGTCATGGAGATCGAAGGCGCGCTGTGAAGAGCTTATGCGGACAACTCAGGCTTGGTATTCACCGAAACGAGTGTGACCTGTTTCCGATGCATGGGCTTGAGCGCCTTTCTCGCCTTTGAGGCCTTTGTCACAGATCTAAGCGTAGAAATATTGGTCGGCTCGTTTGGTATTCCATGTGGCACTCACCAGACACTTGAGATCAAACGTTGCTGTGTTCGTGTACTTGTGTTTGTCTTTCAGAATCTTGGCGAGCTTTTTGGCTGCATCCATGATGTCCGCATTTCGCTGCGGCGATAATTTAATCGAGAAGGAATGCTGCGGCAGCAAAGCTTGCGACGTACTGCTGGGAACACTGTCTGGTGCCAGTCGCTCGGCGCATCGACCATCGGCGCCAGACTTGCGGCGTCGTAATGGATTCCGGAGTAGATCACCAGACACCGGTTCTCGGGATGCTCGTTCCCGCTGGGTGTAAAGTGGTCGATCCGACCCGTCTCGACGTCGATGCTCGCGATCTCAGTTCCGTAATGCGACGCCAGGATGGCCAGTTCGATGGCGCCGCCCCACGTGTTGGGCTGCAGGATCTTGGCGATGTACCGGTCGGGCGGCATTCTGGGCCATGTGTCTCAGCGATGAGAGACATTGCGGGAACCTGGCGCACCCAAGAATAGCCTCGCTGTAGGTCATGGGGTCGTTCCGGATGCCGTTGGCGACCACTGGGCTGTGTGTCAGGGATGCGTGGACGCATGGCGGCGGCGGTTGAGCGCACCCTCGCGCAGCTTGGGCGCCTTCTTGATGTCCTGCTCGAAGACGAGCGCGACGGAAGAGAAGAGACACGAGTTGTCGTCGGGGACCACCCGATGCACCAGGTACGACCCGTCGGTCTCGACAGCATCAGGAGCGTCGGATGCGGCTGCCTTGGGTGCCGATGGTCGGCGCACAGCAGGTGGTGGAGGGACAGCCGAAGATGGGTTCGTAGTGGTCGGGTTCAAGAACGGAGAAGTTGTAGGACGGGAAGGCACAGAAGCCGGGCCAGAACCAGCATCTTCGCTGACAATGAGTTGCTCGCCAGAGGCGAGACCCAGACTGGTCACAGGAAGCTCGGGTATGAGTGTCAATGTTCTCGGAGGATACCCGCCCTTGACTGAGACGAGGGCGTGAGGGGGCGCCGAGATCAAGCAGGAACAAGTGTACCTAGTTGCCTGCTGGGGAGAATGTCGGACACTTTCAATATTTCTTGTTGCAGATCTGTAGATCGGGCCAGAGCGCGGGTGTTAGGGGGACTGCAGGGATTTGGATCGGAGACTTGAGACCTGCCTTGAACCGTGAAATCATCTCGATCGAGAGGAACCTGGATGGTAGATACTCCCTTGGGATGTCGAACTCGTAGAGGTGCCATCTAAGAGAATGACGATAGCACACAGTCAATGTACAGATGACGAGACGAAGATGCGCGACGCTTGTCGGGACTTACCATATGGAGTAATCTCATACTGATTGGTCCACGTGATCTTGATGAAGTCTTGAATGCACGGATCTAGCTTGGCTCGAAAGCACTGGTGGTAAAGGAATTACGTGTGGAGAGAGCAGATCTAGGGAACTGGTTGGCGAGTCCGAGGCGCCCATTGAGGATCCGTAGTGGACTGCCATCCCTGAATATGCAGGGTCAACACATGGTAGAGCCTTCCTGAGATCGCAATAAATTTCTATGAGCAGTCTCTTGGTTTTTGCATCTGCACGAACCAGACACTCGAGCGCTTGGCAAGTGCTCTCGACTTCATATGATGGCATCAACAGTGAGAAACACATGCCATCAATATCTGCGGCAATCAGGATCTCCTTAAATGAATGACGTCATGCGGCCCAGGATGTGCTCATGGCCGTTATGGAAGTTGCCCTCTTTGGTTTCTGGAGGAGTCGGGTGATATCCCCAGCGGATGGTGACGCGGGTTGACGTCAAGTATGAGGGCATCGTAAGCATTCCAAACCGTATATAAGGTTGAAGGCTTGCAAAATCAATCTTCACTCACCTCTCATCCAAACCACTCATCCAACCAAACCAGTCAGTGGCTTTCGAGAAAGTCTCTCGGTCTCCTGACGCGCCTTCACAGATTTCAACTCAATATGTCTGACACTGGACGTCAATCTTTCACCGACAAGGCCGGCGCCGCCCTGAAGGTTCGTTGAGCCTGCGCCTGGTCCGATTCCACAGCGCCTAACTTCATTCCTCAGCCCGACAGCCAGAAGTCGACGACCGAGCAACTCGGAGACCACCTTAAGGGCACCGGAGACTCTCTCGGGTCGACACTCCAGCCCCAGTCGGAGAAGAGCACCGCGCAGAAGGCCGGTGATGCGCTCTCTGGCAACCAGAACAACAACAACGAGTCGCTCATGAACAAGGCAAAGAACGCGATGGGTCTCGGCGAGAAGTAGATCTCAAGATTTATCTCATCTGGGCAAACTGTAACAATGTACTCTATTCGTGATCCACAATGAATATCTGTATCATCTTGACTATTGCGTGGACCACTCCTGCAACACCTCCACATGCGCCCAGTGCCTTCCTCGATGAGTCCACCATATTAGGCAAGTATGACTCTGCGCTCTCCGGATATATCATGACATACGCGAGATGCGATTCCACCCCGAATAGGTCGAGCAATCGCTGCCGCTCAGGTGTTCTAGCGCCGCCCTTGATCATCAAGTCTTCAGATTTTTGGCGTCGAGTGCATCCGGATCTATCTCTGCCTCAATGATCTTTTCCAAAAGTTGTCCCGTAGTAGCATGCTGAGACAAATGTTCTCGGATGTTGAAGATCGTGTCTCCTCGAGCCCATATTGCAGATTACAGGGGCGACGAGTCCACCTCTTTTCATCACCTCCAGGAGAAACCCTCGCTCGTTGAATATATGAATGACGCTGAGATAAGCATTCAGTTCGCGACCTGTGAAGAGGAGCCCTCGAATCAATCGTTTCTGGCCCCCGCGAAACAAAGCTGGGCCAAAGCGATGCCAAGGCAATAGCGCCAGTATCACATACTGGGTTCCAGTCGGAAGCAGCCATGTCTAATACAAATTATTTTGGACGATCAGGGGACAACATGGCCCGTTCCACCACAAGATCGAAGGAACCGAGATCCGGGTTCAGGCCCGGAGCCCGGGTGCATGTTCATGGCATTCTCCGTCGTGAGCGTTCATAGTTTGGAAGATGCGAGTTGTTGGGCGTTAGCCCGAGCGTGTCAACCGTCAGTTCGAGCATTCCAGAGTCACCCGCGCTTCGGGAACAGACGATCCAGATGGGAGATGTCCCCTCATGACGCGACTGTCGCCGATAGAGAGGGAGTCATGCTGATCTGTCCGTGCCTCGCGCCGGTTGCCCTGTGACCTGGATGATGATGGCATTGAATACAACTTGGTACATACTTGGTTTTACACAGAGGTCCGTAGGATCTTGTCCGAGAATCAACAAGCGAAATATGTATATCGGGAACTCGAGACGTTTCAAGGTGTTCAACGGAGCGAGAGTCGGGCTGATTGACTTCCGGTGTCGAAAATCACAAAGGCTAGGCATCCGTCTGTTGCAGCGTTCATGAAAAGTCACTAAAATATGCGCTTGCCTCCTTACCGAATTTCTGGGCGAGTCCTCGAAGGGATCCGCACTCGTCATGACATGGTGGTAGTTCGGGGTTCCAGCGCGCAGGGCGGCCTTGTATACAGCGGAAGGAGCCATGCGTGATCGTTTCCGCCGTCGATAGACAACCCAGAAAACGACACCAGTCACCAGTACGAACAGCATAGCACCAATGACCCCGCCTGCGATGGCTCCAGCATTGATGCCGGACGGGACAGATGCCCCCTTGTGCGGAGTCAGATTGGTCGGCGAGGATGATGCTTCAGTTGAGGACATGGCCGAGAAAGTGGATGAGGCGGATGAGGCTAAACTTGACGTGGATGACATGCCCGGAGCAGATGGTAGAGTTCCTGATGTTGGAATACAAAAACTGGCCAGGTTTTGGGCTGCTTGAATGTTAAAAGTGGTAGGCTAGCATCAAACGTTGAATGATCCGAAAATGCAAGAGACCTAGGCGCTGCTTACGAAAGGCGTCGCCGCAGCCATAGCCAATGCCCACGATGGAACAACGTTGGATTGAGCTTTGAATATTTCCACTCAGCTACGCACTGACGTGCAGGAGGAGGCTCACATGCGGATGGAAGGTCGGTGCGAATGCTAAGGACTCATTCGATTGGCCGAGCAAAAGCATTATTCAAACGCTCACGGTGAAGGTGTTGAAGGATCGCAATGGTATTCCAGTGCATATTCCTGCCAACTGAGCGGAAACTTGTGTGATAACTCCATTGAACAAGTCTGACATGGGACGCACGTTAAAGGTGGGGATTCGGGATTCATGCAGTAGTCGCAAGCGTCCCGGAGAAAGAAGACCAGATTGCTGCAGGCATAAGAGTGATCGAGGCCGCAAAACTTCACGGCACAGGGCTCATTGGAGTCGCTGTTGGCTGCCTGCACACACGTAAGGATTGCGATTGTGGCAAGTTGTAAGTCTGACCCATCCGCAATTATCCGTGGGTGCTCTGTTGAGCTGCCGTGCGACCACGGCTCGCAACTGCAACTGGATGATTAATCACTGAGCGAGAAGTTTGAGCTGCTGCTGTACCGCTTTTGAATCCATTATGAGGGAGGGTGGCAAGTGGAAAATCTTGCGAGGCAGCTGAAGGTTTAGCTGGATGTGCTGGCGGGGAAAGCTAGAAGGACGTACATACAGGCATCCCGAACAGCCTCTGACGAGATGGTTTCAAAAGCATCACTGTCGTAAATCTGTTGATGTTGCGGATGTGTTCGAAGATGGCCCGATACGAGGCCGGAAGTGTCGACCTTTAATGAACAACATCGGGGTCCAATGGACCGGACTGGAAGCGAGGTTGTTACATGATCATCCAGACCGACCCCGGCTAATTGCCATGAGCTCAGTCGTGTGCGAACCCAATCAATGACCTGTCAGGCGACTGTCAAACGGGATATGATAATGACAGAGAAGCAGTGCTGCAGATCAGCCACGTGACTCATAGCACAGGAGTCATCACGTGCCTTCTTTTCAAGCTCAGCAACTATCCAGCACACACGTGCCGGCCGCTCCCAACTTTCTTCAAGACGAACAACAAGATGTCGGCGCCCTCGACGACCGTCCCCTCCGCCTCGGTCAGTCTCCTACGCCATTCAATGAAGCCCTAACACCGACCCGTGTACTGTAGACCATCGAGGTTCCGGAAACTCTCCTCAAGAAGCGCAAGCAAAATGAAAAGGCCCGTGAGGAGCGCCTCACCGCTGCCGCTGCCGCCCGCAAGGTGAGCTTTGTTCTCTTATCTCCCTTTGAATTCCATTTCTTCAAAGTGTATGATGTATACGTTCATTCGATGATCGGCTAGCCAACGCAATGCTGCCTTTCAGTTAACCATCTTTCGGGACTGACTCTTCGCATCTTGTATCCTGCTTCCAATTCAGAGCTAATGTACAATCTTGCAGGCATCGAAGGCCAAGCGCAAGGTCATCTTCAAGCGTGCCGAGTCGTATGTGAAGGAGTACCTGTCGAAGGAGAAGGAGGAGATCCGTCTGAAGCGTGCTGCCCGAACTGCCGGAGACTTCTACGTGCCCGCCCAACCGAAGGTCTACTTCGTGATCCGTATCCGTGGGTGAGTCTACGCCTTTTTGTAACTGGCCATGTCTGGACCTCCGGTAGTATCAACGAGATCGCCCCGAAACCCCGCAAAATTTTGCAACTCCTCCGTCTCCTCCAGATCAACAACGGCGTGTTCGTGAAGGTCACCAAGGCGACCCAGCAGATGCTCCGTCTCGTCGAGCCCTACATCACATACGGGTGCGTCTCCAAGTAGTCCATATCGCCATCTTTTTTGACCATCTATGCAGCGAGGCCAACATCAAATCCGTGCGGGAGCTGATCTACAAGCGTGGATACGGCAAGGTCGACAAGCAGCGCATCCCTCTCTCCAACAATGCTGTCATTGAGGAGGCTCTCGGCAAGTACAACATCCTCTGCATGGAGGATCTTGTCCACGAGATCGCCACCGTCGGCCCCAACTTCAAACAGGTGTGCATCTTTGAATTCTGTCCGTCGTTCTTGTCGCTGACATTTTCCAGGCTGCCAACTTCCTGTGGCCGTTCAAGCTGTCCAACCCTAACGGTGGCTGGCGGACACGCAAGTTCAAGCACTTTGTGCAGGGTGGAGACTTTGGTGACCGGGAGACCAACATCAACAAGCTGATCAGGCAGATGAACTAGATGTTGATTTGTCTCTGTCGCTGTTGGATATGCTTGAGGGGGAGGGGACGTCGACGAAAACATTCCATGTTTAGCTGTAAACTTTTCATGCCTACTATGCCCATTATGAAAAAGTTGCATCGAACGCCAATCCAACACTATTATCATTATTATTCGTTTATCAGCACAGTAGTTGACGAGTTGTGTCTTAGTTTGTGAGCAGTTTAGAGTCCACGACCTCCTTGGTGAGGCCTTCTGGCCCGTCCCGAATCTCTATGACTTTGCTTACATCCACCTGAACGAGGATCGATGAGGCGTTCGTGGGGTAGGAATGAGTACTCACGGTGGCCTGGAAATCCAGCAGGGCACTGGCGTGGAGCGTAAGCATCCCTGTCTCCGATGAAGTGGGCGCCCAGTTTAGCAGGACGAGCGGGAACGATTTCCGGCCATCGGGGTGGTCCAACTGATAGCTGTAGCGCGACACGCGTCAGACGGGCACTGCTCTATGTGCATGCAGCTCTGATTGAACTGCTCACCTGAGAACAACGTATCGCGGCGAGTTCTCAGGGAGCTCTGCGCCGTTGTTAGCGTGGATTCCGAGGCCGCAGTCCATGTGCGCACGCACCCTCGGCCAGCTCCTCGATACTGATGTTGTCGAACTGCTCCACCTCCTCCATGACGAGCTTCGCCTTGTTGATCTTGATGACGAGGGCCGCGCTCCCTTCGCTGCGGCGGGCGAAGCGGAATTTGCGGAGGGAGGCGCGGATGTCCTGCGGGATGTCGACGGTGTGGGACTAGGTTCTGTGTCGACACTTCCCAGCGACTGTAGTATCCGATGGACGAACCATGATGGAAGTCGGAAGCAAGAGATCGATGATGCCTCTTTGTGCTATCTTGGGACCTCAGCGCCGATTGCGGTAGGATATCAAGAGAAAAATGTTCTCTGCCTAATAGTAGCATATGAATAAACTAGATATTTTTACTGCTGAGCACAAGCAAGTACCGCAGTGGATCGAAGTGCGGACTGACTGGGATGCTCAAGTCGAATGCTCGGTACCATTTCACGATCTAATCTTATCTGTCGCCCGACACAACAGAATTACATCATGATTTTCACGATTGATCATCCACGAGGTCGGCAAACTTCGCCGGGGCGGTTGTCGACATGTACATGTACGTAGATAAACTGTGCCGGGGGGTCGTGTCTTCCCCTCATGTACTCCCACTCGCGCTCCCGGTCGAGGACCGTCTCCCCCTCCCGCCACCAGGCCACGCAATCGGTGTCCTACGTCGCGTCTGGGCTCCCAGACGGGCTCGTCGACGACGAGACTGTCGAGCTGCTGCAGGAACTAGTTCACCCCCACGGACACGACCAGGACGCGACTCTGGTCGACGATAGCGGCAGTGTCGATGCACTTCCCGTGGACCCTCGACCCTGGTGGAAGCGGCCATCTCCGTGGTGGTGTGTCCCCATCGGCGCTCGCTCCGATAACCGCGTTCAAAGCTCTATTCTAATCTAGGCTCATGGCATTCACGCCGTTCTCTGTGATCGCGATGTCCGCGACCCTGGTGCCGAAGGTCGAGATATACACACTGCTCGCATGCAGCGTGCACAAACCTGAGATCTTCGCACCCTCGGCGTCTCTCCCGCAGTACACGCTAGCAGGATTTGTCGATGCCGCCTCCGCGCGCCCGGGCCATCCGCCCGCGTTCGATATCGCACTGGCGACCACCGAGGCCGGCGCCGCAGACCGCGCGCGGGAGACGCCGATCGCTGCGTGTGCCGCGGATCCAGTCGTGCAGGCGGCCGTGGCGAAGCTCAACACGGCGATCACGACCACCATGGGAGCGCTGGGGTGTCTCACGACTGGCTGGTGGGGCTCCTACTCCGACAGGCGTGGAAGAACCAGGGTTCTTGGTCTCACCGGTCTGTCTCCCCCCCCCCAAATGAGTGGATGGATCTCGCTGATACGTCCTAGTCTTCGGCCTGTTGATGAATGACTTCGTTTTCCTGGCTGTGACCAAGCACTTCCAGACTATTCCCGGCGGCTACTGGTTCTTAATGGTTGGGCCCGTCCTCGAAGGCTTGCTCGGCGGCTTCACGACCGGCAGCGCGGCCAGCCACGCCTACATCGCAGACATCACGCCCCCCAGCGAGCGATCGCGCGTCTTCTCCACGTTCCTTGGACTCGTTTTCACCGGGCTCAGTGCGGGCCCCACGGCCGGCGGCCTGCTCATCAAATACACACACAACACCTTATCGGTCTTCTATCTGACCGCGGCGATCCACGCGCTGTACGCGTTTATGACGTGGTTCCTCCTCCCTGAATCCCTGTCTGCCGCGCAAATGCAGGCATCCGCGCTCCAGAAGAAAGAGCGGGAAGCGGCGCTCGCTCGGCGGGAGCGGACGCTCCTGTTCCGCGTGGAGCGCATGTTTGCTTTCCTCCAGCCCCTGGCCGTCTTTTTCCCGGAGCGCGTTCCGGGAAAACGAGGCAGGGACTGGAATTTGATGCTTTTGGCGGCAGGATACGGGCTGGCGATATCTATCATGGTTTGTGGACCTTGGTGTCAAGTCGTCCCCATGATATCCTTGCTGACTGGGTTGCAGGGGTCCATGTCTTTCAAGACACAATATTTAATCGCTACGTTCCATTGGACGAGCGAGAACATTGGATATCTCTTGACTATCACCGGAGCGTCCCGGGCATTTTTCCTTGCCATTCTCTTACCACGTGAGCCCAGGCGACTCTGGTTCTCTTCCTGACTCTTATTCAAATTGCCAGTGTTGATCAAAGCCCTGAAGCGGACCTTTTACAGACAAACCGAGACGCACTCGGAAACCGAACCTCTCCTGCGCAAAGAAGAAAGGAAACCAGAGCACTCTCCTCGGTTTGACCTGTCGCTTGCACGAGTGTCGATGTGCATTGAGATGGCGGGCTACATCGGCCTCCCGTTTGCGACGACTGGGACGATGTACACCGTGTTCATGGTCGTGTCCAGCTTCGGCGGAGGGTTCGGGCCCGCTGTCCAAAGCACCGCCATGGAGCTGTATGCGCGGAAACGGGGTCTGCAGGGCACGCCGGCGCACGGCGAGGGAACGGGCCGGCTGTTTGGGGCGATGAGTGTCCTGCAGGCGCTGTGCGCATCGATCCTTAGCCCGGCCATCTACGGCCTAGTGTATATGAAGACTGTGGCGACGTTCCCCAAAGCCATCTTCTTCGTCTCGATTGCGTCGCTCCTGCTGGCTCTGCTCTGCGTCTGCTGTGTGCGCTTGCCGCCCGATGATTCGCCTGATCGTGACATCGAGCACCACCCGGCCAGGGACGGGACATTGGTGGATGTCGATACTTCGCCGAAGAATGTTCCAGACCTGGTGGTTACTGCGCCCAACTGAGTCAAATGTATATGTACTATAGTATAGTCTTCCGCGCTCTTATCGATTATATGTCGATTACATAGGATTAGAAATAATATTATACTGTAAGTATTCAGATGAGGACATCAGACCGCCGCGTATTTACTACATCTCAAACTTGAGCGTTCGCAGCTGCTGTGCGACCGTCCGCATCTCAGTGTTCCACTCCCCGCTCCACTCCCGCTCCTTCCTGCGTCTACCCGTCTGCAGCGCGCAGTGCAGCCGCTGTGCGTCCCCGCGCGCCAGAAGATCCACGGCGCGAATGGGCAGATCGTGCATCGGGGACAGAGGAACCATGACACGGCCGACGAACGACCGCGACCGGGCCAGTTTCGGGAGTGACTTCTCGCTGTCCTCTGCACGACTCCGAGGCCGGCCCCAGCCTGCGTTGTGTTTCAGGAGCGCACTGCGCGAGCGGCGGAGACTCGGTGTGGCGTCGAGCTCCGGGCCCGATGCCAGCGCCGGTGCGACGTTCTCGCCCAGTGTGCGCGCCAGCTTCTGCGCGTGCCGTCTGCGCGCCATCGCGGCCGCGTTCCCGGGGGTGGCAGGAGGGGCGGGTGAGAGGATGTTCAGCGTGATGGTGAGGGTGGGCGACACAGGCGTCAGCGGGGGCGATGGAGCAGACAGATGGGTGGTAGAGCTGGCTGGTGCTGCATCAAGGTGCAAGTAGAGCCTCGGACGACCAGCCGTGGCGTTCAGCCGCTTCGAGCTGCTGGAAGAGGTCGAAGAAAGAGTGTCAGGCGAGACGATTGGGGCTCGCGGAGAAGAGGACCCGGCCTCGGAAGAAGTGGGACTGAGATGGTGCTGCGTGCTGTTGTTCTCAGACATCGCAGCGGTGATGACCTCAGGCGTCACCCCCAGCAGAGCTTGCAGTTTCCGAGCGGACCGCACCAGGCGGCTTCGCTCAGTGGGTAAAAGCACGTCCGCGTGTAACATGGAGAAGGCGAAGAACGAGGGTGGCAAAAGTGGGGAGGATCGGCGTGTACGTGCGGTTTAATAGGATTGCGTTTTAATCAACGACCGGAGGCATAATTATTTCAACTCGTGGTGCGTTTCCGATGCACAACGACGATGACAGGATGTTGCCATTATTAGTCGCAAGCGCCATTCACAAAGTCGCAGTCGTATAGAGAGAAATGTGCTCTCGACTAGCTAGCAGCGCTCGGCCCCGGGAAGATGAAGAGGCAAAGACCAGAGCTGAAAGCGAATCGCAGCTCTCAAGATGTTGATCGCCGATCCCCATGTCATCCCACTGACGTCATCGTTGCGCATCGTGTCGCAGTAGGCCCGCGGAAACTCAGTATTATGTCACTCAAAAATAAAGTAAAACAAGGTCCAAAAATGGCCCAACCTCACTCAGTAGAATAAAGTAAAACGGGTCAAAATGTGCCAAGGTACCTCAGAATTTAGCGTAAAACAGCCCCCAGTTGAGCGGTTTCGGGCTTGAGGGGGAGAGAAATGTTCTAAAAGCGGAGCTGATCAGACAAGTTCCCCTCGCTTTTTCCCAGCTTTCACCCATTTAAGCACAGAACGTGCAGTAAATCTCAGTCCAAGAGCTCAAAAAAGACCTCACGTGAACGTATGCACAAAAACTGAGGGGTCCCTCGAAATTTAAAGTAAAACTACCCCAAAATGGCAATTTTCGTAAAGTAAAACAGTCTTTGGTCCTTGAGTGACCTTATACTGAGTTTCCGCGGGCCTGTCGCAGTACTTGTGTGGATGATAGGAGTGTGGGTGCATGTAGCCATCTCGAATTTGCCATTCCAAAGAACAAAAGAAACAATCAGCATCGTACACGATCATCCCACCAACATCTAGGCTCGCTCTCTGATACCCGCATCGCTGCCGTACTCGCTGTCGCTGTCGTCCTCTCCGCGTCCCGACCGGCGCCATTTCTCCGTCACGCTGTTGCGGCTGTGGTTCCGCTGCAGCACGTGCGCATTCGGGATCGACACCGCGATCTCCTCGATGTCGTCCGCCTCGGCGTTGCGCGGTGCAAAGCTGAGCGGCCCAGAGTTCGTCGACGAAAGCGGCGCCCGGGAGGAGACGCGAGGCGCGATCGTTGAGACGTCCGAGGTGAGGAGGGTCGTCGAGCGGTTGTTGAGCGCGACCAGCAAGGTGTTGGCGTAGCTGAGGTGTGGTGCAATCAGATAGAATATTAGCAGAACAGACGCCAACATACATTCCAGGAAGGATCATCACCGGGCACACGAAGTAGGTCGTGTTCTTGAAAAGCGCATTCATGTTCTGGTCGTATACTTGATAATCTGGAATCCACTCACCGGAGCGCATACAAAGAGCAAGAGCCCGAGCAATGCTACAACACTTGCCACAGCATTCGTTTCGACAGAGAGCCGAGCGACGCTAGTGATGGTGCCGCCGACAGTGCGCTTGCCCTTGGCCTCCGTAGACAACGAGAGGGGGATCATGACAACAGTGACCAGAAGCGCGGCAGCAGCGCCACCAGCGAGCCATAGGTAGACGAGGATGGTGCGCTCATGGTCGTGCTTGGGACTGACCGCCATGTACGACACGGCCGCACCGCCGATCCCACCGGCGCATTGGGCCATACCGGCCTGGCGCTGGGGTCAGCAACGAAGAGCCGGGCAGACGCAGCAGCGCTCACAAGACCGACGAGCACAGCCAGCGGCCACATGACCTTGCGGATGACCACGATCCGATACGCAAAGAAGAACTGGACCAGCATGGCGATGAGAGATCCCGCCAGCGGAGTGTAGAAACGCGAGTTGCGCGAATCTGCGAAGCGTGCGATCTTGCCGAACCCGGACCCGTACCAGAACTCGACGTCGGCGGCATTGAGGCAGATCGAGACGAGGATCAGGAGCGAAACAAAGTAGACTGGGGGGAGGCGTGAGAACGATCCGGTTGCTGAGCTGACAAAACATACCGAGGCCTTTAGTCAAGATCGAGTCCAGAGGGAAACAGATCCGGTAGACGTCTGCAATAGGGCTTCAGATGCATTCAACAACACGGGATGAGCGGGTACCCACAGACTTGTATCAAAAGCGTTCCGACGAAGAAAAAGTTGAGCAAGGATCCAATCAGCTGCGGCGTCACTCTGCTCCCTCGTCAGACTCGTCAGCGAGACAGGAGAAGGAGGAGCACACACATAGGTGTATAGTCCGGGAGCTGGTAGACCACCGCAGTTGGGATGGTCGTGGGCATCTGGAGCTGGGCTGCAGACGGCGGGGTACCCAGAATCGTGGGTAGCAACGTCGAAGCAGACGCGGACGAGGCGGAGGCAAGTTTTTGGATCGTGGTCATGATGGGAGTGCGGGACGAAGTGGGAATGCAGGTGCTAGGTCCGATTTATAGCTCGCAAGGTCTCAGACACGCCGGATAGGATGGGCGAGTGGGGGGAAGACTCAGACGCATTATCCGCTCCGCTTGCAAGACATGTCGCATTAGAATCGGTAGGTCGTATAAAATGCCCTCAGGTACGAGATAGCGTCGCAATTGCTCTGTTTCAGAATGATGCGATACCGGGGGGCTGCCTGACGAATGTACACATCATAACGTGGTTGCACGAGTAAGAGAGAGAAGACAAAGACTGAATCTTGCGGCACTAGACAACAAAAAGATACGAGGTTTGAGAACTGGGGGTTCAGCTCTAAGCGTAAATGGATGTGTGCTGGTCTGCTAGACAATATGATGAGACTAAGCAGGAAAGTAAGTTACGGTTGTCACATGCGAGAAAATCTTAATCAACCGATTAGATAAGGTCCGATCGTGCGGTCTGAAGAGCGCGATTGGGGGATAGACATAGTGGTTTCTGACAAATTGACATGAAGATGTTCTCGTTTGAATACACGTATGAGCTTTGGTTGCCCGAGTCCAGTTGTCAGTGGTCCATATACTTAGGATTCTATCTCATCACGGAGATCGTCGTGACAGGATCTCTCTCCCAACCATGATCACACCGCGTTTTGAATGCAGTCAAACACCCAACACAGTCGTAATAAACATCTACTGTCCCTCTGTCCGGGTACAAGACCGTCTCCCACCCCCTAAAATCCGCTGAATCACATCAAGTAGGCTGCAGACGTTGAAATTCACGTCGACGACACGCTCTTCTCACTGCACCTGAATCCGTACTTTCTCCGCCTCACACTACCCCATCCGGTCCTCGAGGACGACGATTCGTCCGCCAAATATGATGCTGGGACTGGATATCTCACCGTCACGCTCGCCAAGGCGAACCCGGGACAGGACTTTCCTGATCTGGACTTGCTCTCAAAATTGCTGGCTCCTCGGCCTGCGACGCAGACCCAGCCGCCGCAAATTGAGGTTTTAGGCGACGACGATGGAGGTGAGGAAGTGGAACGACATCTAGATGAGGTCGAGGATCTCACCGCTCGCACGGACGCGCTTTCTCTGGAACGAGAGGAGATTCTCCGAGGTGCGCTCTGTCTTCCCCTTCCGTAACGGTCACCCGTTCTGACGGTGATAGCTGCGGAAAACGACTGGCAACTACCTCAACAAGTCCCATCTGACGACTACCCGATCTCCATGACGCTCACCCATCCGTACGGATTCTTGAGCCGGTATGGCGGGTACTTCAAACACGCTCAGCACACCGAGAACGAGATCAACGAACTTGGTGGACAAGCCGAGACTTTGTCGTTGCGCGAACGCAGATCGCGCCGGGTTCAGCATGAAAATGCAAAGTGGGATGAGGAGCATTATATGTACGGTGAAATTCGCTTGTTTTCAGCGGCGTGACTGAATCCAGCGTCATTCAGGGCAGACTATGCGGACGATGAATACATCCAGGAACTCGTGCACTGGGTCAACCCCCGCACACAAAACACGGAATCTTTCGAGTTCTCAGATCAAGAGAAAGCGGCGTTGCTGAATCTGCCGCGGAGAGAATGTTCGCGTGTTCGGGTTTGATCTAAACATTGTTACTGACGTGGGCGAGCAGATCTATCAGATGAAGCACAGACGAGAAATCTCTATCTGTCGCTAACGACAATCCTCTTCGCCGCGGCCTACGAAGCCCGAACCACGCAAGGCGATCCGACCCCAGAAAGCGCTTGGACGATCTGCATCCTCACACCCATCTTCTCCGCGCTCGATGGCCCCCCGTACTCCACCGACCCACCGTCGTCTGATCTAATCGCCACCTTGGTGCAATCATACCGTCGATCCCTCTCGTTCCCATTGTTCCGGTCCTTTGCCTTGGCCGAAAAGTGCCGCTCTGACGTCGCTGCGCTGTTTAAACAGGGAAAACGCGCGATTCTACGCTGTTTGCTCGAAACAAAACACATTCTCGAGCACCATGAGGTGAATTACGTGTACAGCAAGATCTGGGTCGAGGACTTTTGTGTTTGGGTGCAATCGTGTGCAGAGTGAATAATGCGCTTTCTCTCTCGAAATTCCAGTGGAACTGACAAATGGTAGCGAGGCTACATTGCAGGACCTGGGACGGGAACTGCAGTCGTCGCAAATCTCAAAAGCTTTGATCGGATGGGATCTAGAGGAACTGGAAAGCGCAGCACTGGAAGTCCAAGAGCGAGAGCCTGACAGCGATGACGAATGAGGACGAAGGTGATGAAGTTTCTGCACTGATATTTAACAAACTGTTGATGTTAAACGGGTACTAGCATATTGTGATAATGTACAATGCAGTCAGGAACGAGTGCTGCTGTGTACAGATAGTAGTAGTAGTAGTGATAGAAACCAAACCCAAGAAAAAGGAAAGCAGCTGTGTCCATAAGGGGGTGGATCGTCTAGAATGGCGGTTATTATCAGGTTCACCTCCCATTCGCAAGTTCAATGTAGCGGGTCTTCCTCTTCATCGCACGGGAGCTCGATTTCTCGTCGTCGTCCCCTCCCCTTCTCGAGTGCCGTTCGCACAACATGCGGCCGTCAACCTCCCAGTAATCATCCAGTCGTTCCCTGCAGCCTGCAGCATATTCACACAGCATGTGGTCAGGGTGGTAACGGTCTCCAGCATGCGAAACCGCGCACGGGCCCTCGATGGGCTGTCCACAGCTTGATGCCGCGCACAAAGACTCGTTGGCCTCGTGATAGTGATACTTGCACATAGGCTTGTGCTCGTGAACGTAAAACGTCTTGTCCGGGAACGGTTTCTGTGCAAGCTTAGTGGAGGCACTCGGCCTGACAGAGTGAGAAACTCACATGACAAACATGGCAATTAAAACATTCACGGTGGTATTTGCCTTTAAGCTGTCCGTCGGAGGATGATACGGCCTGTTTCTCGATTGGCAGATTGCACCTCCGGCACTGATTACAGGGTCAACAAACCAGCTTCTCCAGTGAATGGCACTCACCTTGGGCAGATACATGTTCTTCCAACATCTCTCACACAGAACCCCGCCCTCGTCCATCTGCACCCATTTACCGTCCTCAATCTTCTTCTCGCAGCGCACACAGATCTTGGGTTTGCGTGCAGTCCGTTGTGGTTTCTCGGCGGACTGTTCGGGAGATCGAGATCGCTGCGAGGCCCCGTTATCGCTCGTTGGCTTTGAGCGCACACTGGCCAATTCCTCAGGACGTCGCCACAGCGAAGACGAACTATCAGCGCTCTCCCTGCTGTCAGCACGACTATGAATACTGCGCGACGAGGGCTTTTCAGGACCGCCTCGTGCGCTGTCACTCGAAGATCGAGGGAGATCAAACGAGTCTCCTGCACGCGCAGATTTGACTGGGCTGTCTTCTCCACCATAATCCGATCCGCTGTCGGAGAGAGAATCTTTCCGCGGTCGAGTATTCCCGCGTGCAGAGGACTGCACAGATCGTATCGAGGGCGCAGGCGGGCTCTTCACTCGCGCTGGCGCTACGCGTTCGTTGGCTCGCCTCAGGTCCGCCGCGTCGTCGTCGTCGTCACCGTCTTCATAATCCGTCGAATCTGCATAGGCCAAGCCATACGCAGACCCAGAGCTCTCCGAACGGAAGTGTTCCTTTTTCGAATACCTGCTGCTTCGTGATGAGACGGACGCCGAAGACTGATGCACACGGGCGCCAGTTCGTGATGGTGGGGAGGGCGAACGACGTCTGCTGAACAACTCTGGGGACTGTGGCGATTCGGGTATGACGCTATTCCCGGCGAGCCAGAAGATCCCGTGGAGGTCGAGAGTGGTGGCGTAGATGTGGCTGATAAAGAAACAGTCAGAGAGTATGGATCGGTTGTTGCGACACTCACAGCTTGCAGCACCGGTGTCGATGTTCCTAGGCGGACTCGCGCGTACAGTGGATCCTCCGGTCCCTGACGGCGAAACGGTGAACATCGCAGCCCTCGCAGCAGCAGCGAATCCTCTGCGGCCCACCCCGGCCATTCCCGCTTCCCCGCCGGATTGCGTGTTGATTAACGAGGGCTTGGCTACCCCCGCGGAGGCTGTTGCTGCACCGCCGGCGTTTCACGTGTAGATGAGAAGGAAGGTCGGGCCGTGACGGGAGAAACGGGGGAAACGCCAACACTCGATGATCCCGATCTCGCACGCGTAACGCCGGCCGACAGACCGGACACAGGCGATGCAGGCTGGTCCATGCGCGATAACGGGCTCGAGCGCGGAGGAGCGGCGAACGACGACGGTGCACCTCCCGTGTTGACTCTGGAAGGGATTGGGCGTTGGGACAGTGCCGGAGATGCTGCCCGTATGGAGGGCTGGGGAGACGCTGTCCTTAACGTGGGCTGGGGGGACGCTGTTCGAGCCGGGGGGATGGCCGCGGAACTGCGAGGGGGGAGGGATCCCCGGGGAGCACCGGGCGCGTTATTGTTATTGTTGTTAACAAGACCTTGCAACCGTTGCGGTAGGAGCGACGCTGCTGCTGCGGGAGAGATGGAGGGCTTGGGTATATTGAGACCAGACGTTTTTGAGGCATTGGGAGTGGGGAGCGGGGGGACAGGAGCACAGATGTGATCTCCGAGCTCGGCGAGAGGGACAGGCTGATTGCAATTGGAGCATTTGACGCTGGGGAGGACCTGCGATATGCGCCCAGCGGGTTGGGAGGGGGTTGACATGAGCATTGGAATGAGAAAAGAGCGTTAGAGAAAGAAGAGGTAGATATGGTACGTCCAGCGCGACTGCCTAGTGGTGGGGGTGCATGAGAGAAACAATGGTCACGCCAACCGAACGTCTGCATGTGGTCACGACCAAGCGATTTGATGGTTCATCACCGGTGATTATTGGAGATTTGCAGAAGCCTGGCAACGAGGACAGCAGACAATGCATGTAGGATGATATGTACATGAAGCTCCCCAGAGTCCTCGGAGACGATGAGTATTACAAAATGTTGGTCGCACGACCCCGGTCCGAACGTTCGGCTAACGTTATAGAATCAACCACCCAACCAAAGCAGTCTCTTCACTCCATATTCCATCTTTGCGTACATGCTGGTCATCCGCTGAGCCTCGGACAAGCTGGGGCACATGCATCAGTCAATCATTTGGAGCGGACATGTGCTGTGTCGTACCTGACCACGTCTTGGTCAACGACCAGGTCGGCATCGTTGCCGATATCCTCGCAGGCTCGTCGTATGCCGTCAACCATCAAATCTGCAGCCTCTCGACAACAGCTGGCGTTGCCCAGCTCGTCAATCGAGTCCAGATAAGCACTCCCGCCCAGCGAACTGATGCTGCTGTCTCGACGACTCCGCGTCGGATCAATCGGCAGGGTCTTGAAGGCAGCAAAACTGTTTGTCATGGGCACTGTCGGACCCATCATCCGGGCGGTCATCGAGCTGCTCGCTGGTCCAGTAGCCCGTCCCAAAGAGGAAGGAAGATGCGTGAAATGCTTGCAGCCGCAGCCAAAGACTTGCTCTTGAAGGTCGAATCGGAGCGAGACAGGGCTTGCAGAGTGTTGCGGATCGAGTAGCTCGAGACACGGGTCGTCTCATTCAGGGTGTCCAGGACACGACGAATCCGGAATTCTGGTCGGGGTCACAACTGGCCTCTTCGAGGGGGGACAAGATATAGGCCCCTGTATCGACCTGAATTGAGCTTCACCTGAATGAGAATGTCAATCGCTCTCACCCTTTGATATCTGGGTAATGTCTCAAGCGGGATCCGGGTATACATCTTCACCTTCTCCAGGGTATAATCGTAACTCTACTGCCCGTGAGTTACAGACAGTCAGGAGTTGGCATAGACCCACGATGATATAATGCAGAAACTGTCTGGAAGTTCGTCAGTCTTTGTGTGAACTATCGGGCTATGAGTCAACGCACCAGGAGGAGGACCTTCTCTTCAAACTTGTCCCCTATCTTTGCATTCAACTCTTCGGGACCAAAAACAGTCCACCCCGAAAGCAAGCGCTCTCCCCTGCAAGACACGGGATACGGAAGTAGCAATGGCTTCTGTTCTAATCTTGGACAACCGAATCAGATCGCGAGGGTCTGTTGATTGCAGCTTCAAGAGGAACTCGGAAAACACCGAGATCGTCCGGTTTCCAAGGGTGAAGTCAATCACAGCTTGGGAGAACCAATCGCTGAATGTCGAGGTGTACATTCTTTGTGATTTTAGGCCATGGCGACGATGCTAAGAGATGATGCCTACCTCGCGAGAGAATTGACACCGTCGTTCAGCATTCCACTCAGATCCCGTTTGCCTGTTCTTGTAAAGTCGCCTTTGAGGGCAGAGGTGCCGGCACTGGAACATATCAGATCAATACCGAGTTCGGGTGAGAGCAACACCCACTAGGCGCGACTGATCGCATCACCGTTATTGGCCCAAACTGAAACGAACGGCTTCAGTTGCGTGCTATGAGCGGTTTACTGAGACCGACCATCATTGAAGACATTATCTGCTTCGGTACGCCCGTCCGAAGACGATGTGTCAACGCAACAGCACTGAGCTGATTGTTCATCACATGGCGAGCGAAGGCAGACTGGACAACATTGTCCGGTCGAGACAGTCGATGCAGTTGACACGGTAAATGCCTTTCTGAGACGACATCGTGTTAATTTCCCGAGATCCAGAGATATCTAGATCTCCCTCAGCTACGACACATAAACGGCATTTGTGAACGTACCCTGTTGTTCGAATGTACGCTCCATCGTGTCAATCAATTGCGAGATGTTCTCATATCTCAAACCACATGAACACGAAGCACGGATCCAGAAAAAGAGACGCACTTCATTCCTTTGGTCTCCTGGTGGAAATCATATTCATGATAGACAGCATCCTTCTCAGCCAGTTCGGCCATGTAATCGCGGTAAGCGCCAGTCACTTGCCCTCCTTGCCGTGCTGCTCAGCCAGATTGACGACCGTCTGAGTCACATAAGCCGTCGCGCGAATTCAGAACTGGGCCAACCAACATGAGGACCGTATCTTGGGATGGTGCGTGTAAGAAATGCCTTCGGATGGCATCCAGATTCTGGGCGTGGGTGCGATCGGTGGCCAGAACAGGCGGAGGCTTCAGCGCAAGTCCTGTTTGGGTCCAGAATAATGGGACTGGAGAAACGTCGCAGTTGAGAGTGTGTAGCCCCCCAAATGGGCTCACTAGAGCCCCGGAGCTGTACATATGAGAAAATATTTGGTGACCCTCGCGCTAATCGCAATCAGTCAGTTGTCGCAAGAGATCGGGATCGTACGGCGACGGACCTCAAGACGAAGGATAGTCTCTGTCTCAACGAAGTTGGCTACATGGGCATCATCGTCGATGCCCCCGCGCTGATAGCGCAACCCCGCTCTATCTCTCGACCGCCTCGATATGATGGTGTAATCCGCTGGCGTCACCTCCTCAGACTCGGAAGGGGGAACGTTGAATGTCGAGCTTTGAAATATCCCTGCATGACTGGCAAAACGAACGGATGAACCTGCAGGTAGATCAGCGGAAAAAAGACAGATCATCAGACGTGGCATGTCGTACCCCTGCATCCACAAACGGCTTGACATCCATTCATTCCACCAGAACTGTCGATCCACTCGGCGCCAAGAGGCAGAGTAGGGTGCGGCTCAACCAGGGCATCGACGGTGCCGTCACTCGAGGAATCAGCCGGCCCCGCAGAATCGAGAGCGTCCAGGTCAGCCAGTAGCGCGTTCTTCTTCTGCGAACGGGCAACAACTCTTGTTTCTGCTGCAGAGATCGCGTCAGATCTATTTTCAAGTCAGATCACGAGAACCTGGGATGAAGCAAACGCCCGACCGAAAGTGTACGCAAAGTACATTCCCCCTTGGAAAACTCGCGCACAACTCTCCTTCACGATCTTGTCCTCGAGT